TTTTTGTCTTTCTCTCCCTCTTTTACAACAATTTAGTAGAGTATACACACACACACACACACACACACACACACATATATATATATATATAAAGAGGGTGAATCGAGAAACAAAAATAATGATAAAAGAGAGTAAGATCAATGGCAGGGGCCAACGACGATGATAGAGAGGAGACGATTAAGGGATGGCGAGGAAGAGTGATGGCGTTTGGTGCTAAAGGTTTGAATAACGTAGTGTTTGAGAACAGTAAAACTATTTTAAGTTTTTTTTTTTTTTAAACTTTCCTAGTTGGTTACATGTAGTTTTTTATGTCAACTAATTTCTAAAAGGTTGGTTTTTTTATTCAAAAAAGTTAGGGACTTAAGCATTTATAATAAGAAAGTTCAAATGATTTTTCATTCAAAAAGAAGTTTATGACTAATAATTTAAAATAGATAATTTTGAGTTTTTCTGAACTTTTCTTTATTTTAATAAAAAGTATAATTTATAAAGTAAATTATGATTTATTTCCTCCGTGGTTTTGAAATTACGATTCTCGTCCATATAGTTTGTAATTTATTGCCATTTTCGTTCTTGAACTAATTCTTACTCAAGTACTAGAGACCAAAACAATTAAGAACTGAAAATCATAGAGATCGAAACAACAAAAAATTGTAAATCATAAGGAAGAAAACAACTATAAATTACAAACCATAGGGATGAAAATCGTAATTTTTAATGAACTATGAGAACAAAAAACTTAATTTACTCTAAATTATATATTAGAAGATTCAAGAAATTGAATGTTCGTGACTAGATGTTATTAACTATGAGTCATCCACCAGTATTATAATGTCGGAGATTTTTAAAGTTTGAGGATTGTTTACCAAACGTTAATTGGATAACCGATTCTTTGATCACTTATTTTATCGGGTGAGTATGTTATAACCTTCAAATTTTTAGAGTACTCTTTTTGTTGGAACAAAAATATTGTATTCAAGTCTCTGTGCTTAAACTGTTTTATAATGATTTGTATTATAGTATCCTTTTATAGAAAGTTAGTTTAGTTTCTTGTTTTAGTACTGGTATAAATTGTCTGGTGTTAGTTTTGTTAGTTGGTTGTTAATCATAATTGAGAGTTAAATTGAGATTGAGAGACATTAGTGATCAAGAACATTTGTACTTAAGCTTTTACATAATCAAGTTGGCCGACATATTCTATTCATCTTATTGTTCTTGATTCTTATTATGAATTGATTGTTAAAGACTTGAATATGGGATTACAATTGGTATCAGAGCTTAATCTGATTGACAGGATTGGATTTCGATTTCGATTTATTGCTGAATTGTGAATTTTTGTGTTCGAAAGTTTTAGCTACTGTTCTTGGAAATTTTTGTTCAAATTAAGCTATTTTTATCTGTTTTTGTTACAATTGTTGTAATCAATTTGTTTCCGCAAGTATTGCGAATTGATCTGTATTGGTTAATTGCATCAAATTGCAGTTTTTTTCGATCATTTTGAGCCATTTTTGAGTTCTAGAGTTAACGAACTTTGGTCGTCGGTCATTGAATGTTCTTCATCCGATAAGAGTCTTTCTCATCGAACATTGAATTTGCTCTTGAAAGAGTTATTGTCATCGGTCATTTCTTGAGACTTTGACAATTTTGATTTGTTCATCGGTTGAGTTTTGACTAGATTAGTATTATTTGCTTGTAATTTTGCTCACCATATAAGCTTTGTCCGGAGACCTTTTTATTGTCTTGTCTGCATAAGCATTGTCATCGGTCAAAGAACTGTCTGGAGACCTCCTTATTGTGTCTGGAGATGTTGATTTTCTTGTTTCAAAATTTGTTCAAGTGATCTCATCGGACACTTCATTGTCCGGATACCTATCTCATCAGACATATCCTTGTCCGGAGAGGTGTTCCTTTGATCGACCAGATAGACCTTAATACTTGTTGACTGGTGAAGATTAGATTGTTTGTTGTCCGGATAGTACTTTTCCTTTATTGTCCGATAACATTCTTGTCTGAATAGTGCTTATTCCCTTGTCCGGATAGCACTTTACTCTTATCCGGATATCTCTCAACTTGATGTCCGGATAGTCTTATTCTTTTGTTCGATAATCATTTTTTGATGTCAAAGAATCTTTGCTGAGTGTTTTTCTAAGGAAAGTGGGGTACTTCAATTTTATTAAGTAAAAAAAATTCTCGAGGCATCAGACCCCGCAAGGGCGTTGCCCCTTCACCCCACCCCGCTAAACGGGTAGCAGGACCCTGTTCTAAGTCGCAGGAGGGGGTTATTATTTTTGAAAATTTCAATCCAGTCCTAGTTATTTCTAAAAAAGATTATCTATTCAAGTCTAAAAAAGTAAAAGGATATGTTGAGTATCGGATCTGACTCTAAGCCTCCAGTTCTTGTTGTTGGATAATACATACAATGGAAAGTTCGGATGGTTCATTTCCTTGACAATAAGAATGAAAAGCTGAAGGAATCGATAAAGAATGGACCTCTCATTAGTTATATGGATCTACCTGAGCAGACTACCGCTAATGGTATTGTTGTGCCTGCTTCTAAGATTAAGAAAAATCCACAGTATTACACTGAAACTAAGAAAGAGAGGGTCCTCATTGACAAGAAAGCTTTGACTTATGTGTTAATGGCCATTCCAAATGAACTTCTTAACCGTGTTGACAGCAGAGGCTTAGCAAAAGAGCTGTGGGATGAGTTGGAGAAGCAGATGTTAGGAAGTGAAAAGTCTATTCAGACACGGATGAATCAGTGCATTAGTGCTTATGAAGGATTCAGAACTTGTGAAAGTGAAACCATTACTGAATCCTACAACAGATTCAATGTAATGCTAAATGACCTGAGGAGGAATGGTATTCAGAAATCATGTCTAAGATAAACTACAACTTTTTGAAGAATTTGAGGTCGGAGTGGAACTCTCTTGCAGTTAATCTACAAATGAACAAGAATATGTCTGAAGAAGAAATTCATGATATGTACAGTATCCTATACGAGCAAGTGGAAACTGTGAGAGAGTTAATGACTAAAAAGAAGAAGGTGGCTGACTCCTTAGCTCTTCTGTCAGGAAAGAAAGAAAAGGGTAAATCTGAAGGAAAGAGCACCAAGTCTCTGAAGACAGAGTTATCTGAACAGACTGAGAGTGAATCAACTAAAGATTCCT